CCAAAAACGTTTGCGTTCCCTAGTGAAACTTTGCGTTCGCTCGCAAAGAACAGGTTTGCGAGCGAACAAATTTTTTTCGGAGGAACGCAAAACATTTGCAGGAGAACACGTATGTATATTGATGCATAATTTTTTCCCTCATCTTATGTTTTTTTTTCCATCACCATGTTCCTTTAGGGGCTCCATAAAAATACACTTATCATGCACTTTTAAAGGATGAGGACTCAAATTGATACGGTAAAACCAACGCCATCAGAGTGCAACAGTAAAGTCCCGGAAGTAAACCCCGTTCATTTCCTCCATCGGGAATTAGATTTTTAAAGATAACGAGTAAACCTTTAGAGACAGTCCTACTGTTTGCTACGAGGTTGTTAATCGATGGTTGTTAATTCTGTTGAAGCCATCAACCTGTATTATTGCAACTTATTTTTTTAAATACTCTTTAACAATGTAATTCATGATGAAAAACTACATTACCCATGATGCTGTACAGAGAATTCCACCAATCAAGGAGTCATGACAATCAAAATGCACCATTAGAGCTCTAGCTCTTAAGCTTTTCCCCTGTATTTTTTTATTGATGTTACTACGTTCTCAAAATACTTATTTGTATATAACATGTTTTGCAAAAAAAAACTTAGTTAAAATATATTGTTTTTATTTATAATCAACATTTTTTTAAATGAGTAGTTTTATATTTCTCCATAGTTTTTAATTTGATTAGTCTTTTTGCAATGCTTCATGGGATTGTAGTTCTTTCCCTTATTAAAACTGTTAAAGTCCCTGTAAAGGCAATTCAAAAAAAAAAAATCTAAACCCATTATAAATGTTAGAAATGTATTGCTAAAACATATTACAAAGACTGTGAACTGTGAATTACTGAATTGTGGAGTTAGACCGTTAAACAGTTTTTCACCATTGCTATTTTGCGGGTTTTTTGGGCGGGGCTAAAACGGGGCTCGATGACGCACTGGAGCCCCTGAGCTCATGGACTCGCCCCTACTTGATGACGCACTGAGGCCATTGAGGCTGGCTCCTCCCCTAACAATAGAGCACATTCGCATCAGTTTGCCGCTCAATAGCGAGTTACTGTCAGTACTATTAGTACTACAGCCTATAGTTTGCTAGCTAGCTATGCCTTCGACACGGAAATGCGTAGGCTACTACCTGGATGCGATCATGTACAAAACAGATCGGTGTCCTTATTTCATTTTCCCGAAAAACGATCACATCAAGAAGAGGTGGATTAATTTGTGAAGAGCCAACCTTGATGGAGAGCTGAGGATCACCGCCAACACCCGCCTCTGTAGCGATCATTTTACACGGGATAGTTTTATAAACTGTCGTCGGAGACAACTGGGATTCACTGATAATCCGCTGTTACTGGTGAATGGGGCCGAACCGACTATCTCCTGCCTCGGCCTTCATCTCCCCGTCCCGAAAGCAGTATCACCCGCGAGTGGGCGTGGTTTCAGCGCAGCCAGCGGACACGCCCCCAGCGTTTGAGAGCAGAGAATAATGCTCACTATTTCAAGATTTTGATAGCTTATTTGATGTACTTGCCAGCTTTTTTTATCATTCAAATTTGGCTGGGTGGCTAATAACACATTTTTCTGTGGTGTGACAAACTCAGAACACATACTTAATTTTGACTTTACAGGGACTTTAAATACACTTGTACCTTTTTCTTTTTGTTAGATTTTCAAATGCTTTTTTTTTTTGTTGCTTCCAATCAAAGTTTGCAATGTTATGATTAATCCCATTGCTGGTTGGTTTGGTTCATTGCTTATAACGCGTTTTATTAATCTCCATGGGAGAAATGAATGGAAAAAATGCTTCTGGAACCAATGCCGCTGAAAAAGTGGGTGGGCACTGTTGCACTTTATACAAGTGCCAAAAAGCATCCTGAGCTGAAATTCAGATACGGTAATGGAAATTTAGTTTGACATGTGCTGTACGGAGTAGACCAATCACAGAGAGTCCGAATCATTCATCGAACCGTTTCAGACACTGAGAAAAGAGGTGATGCTGTAATGTATATTATTGAATGGATGTAAACCTATTATGGGAGACCTCCAAAACAAGAAGCCTTTAAAATAACATAATTTGGGCACTTTGAAAATAACTATTTGTGTGCATCTAAGTCTTTTTCTGTCAATAAAGTCGACTTTTCTGTTCACAGCTGCATGTTCCAGACTTCAGCGGAACTCTAGAGAATGAGCATCAAAATGTAGAGTTCACTGGTTTGGATCTGGTATGTAGAATATAAGAGCTGATAAATATTTGTATAATATTAGTATAAGTTTAAAATTATTACTCCAAAATGATTTAATCATCTAATGTATCTCTGACAGGATGCTGAATTGCTGAAGCTCCTCTCAAAGCTGCTGATTTCCTCTACAAGACTGTCTGCTTCCGAAGCCCTAAAAGATGACTACTTCATCTCAGTTGATGTGTAAAAGTCAAATGTGTTCATGTTTGCGTTCTTTGCCCTTTTTCTTTATAATTTTCTCATAAGAAAAAAACCCCCACAGAGGTGTTTGTTTGTTCCTCACACTAATGTTTCGTGTTCCTGAAATAAATAAAAGTAAATATATAAAGGCAGAATAAAGTGGGAATCTTTGTCAATACAGTTCATTATGTGCATCAGAGAAGAGGAAGAATATGCTTGGTTTTTCCATTTTGTGATGTTTTATCCTGTTCCAGATCCGATCAGTGTAACATAAAAGGCTGTCATCCTTTAATCATAGTCACTGACAAGACCTTACTTTGAAATTGCCCAGTTCGAAAATTGTCTCCTTAATATCTTTTATCTTTCTGTCCTCGTTTTTTCTCCAGGATCATCAAAAAGTGACCCATAAATTCTGAAAAGGAGAGCAATTTGGCTTGCTACTGAATTTTCACAGGAATCATATGAGTCTATAATAACTTTCTAGTTTCATCAGCAAATTTGTGAGAAAGTAAAATTGCATTTTTATTAGTATTTTGAGCACAGCACAATCACCCTTTACATTGAGTCTCTATGTGGTTGTTGACCTTGGATAGGTCACCTGGTATTTCAAGTTGGTACTCCTAGTTTTTTTTTTTTTTTTTTTTTATGCATCAGTCCAAATATTGATGAAAGGTACAATTTACGCCACTTAGGAAGAAGCTCATCAGGGTGAGATGTTACAAGTTACGTAACACAATGATGTTCAATTATTGGAAATCAGACCACAGAGCCATACAGTGCTCTCAACTGGCCGGTTAAGATGCTGAATAATGAACCAAGGTAATTTAATAGAACATAGCACTATATATTATATAGGGCTTCAACTGTTTTAAAGAGAAAATAAGGACACAGTGCATTAAGGAAGTATTTAGACCCCTTAATTTTGTTTAATTTTTAAAAATACTTTTTAAAAAATCCATATCAATTTACACTCTACCCCATAACGACAAAAAAAAAATAAAAAAAGATTTCTGATAAGTTTATTTTAAAGAAAAAAATGAAATAACAATTTACAGACACATGAAATTTGACGTCATTTACTCTCGGTTCCACACACTGACTATCTATTTTGTCAAGCTTAATTTGAAAAATATTTTTCGAAAGTCAATGGTAACCAAAACTATTTATAAACATTCTTCCAAATATATTTTGTGTTCAGGAGAAGGAAGTCAACGAGTTTGGAACGACGTGAGGTGAGTAACTGTTGAAGCACCTTGACAGCAATTACAGCCTCAATTCTTTTTGAGGTTTAGATGCGACAAGCCAGAATGCTTGTTTGTTGCATTCAGGACCTTTAAGAATTTCTTTCTTTCTGTCAAAGTTGTCGTATAATGCACTTTATACATCGACACGCCTTCTTGTATTGTTAAGCGCTGTATCAAAAGAGAGGCATGCTTATATAAAACACGAGCAAGCTAGCGCCCTCAGACAGACACCACAGAGATCACGGGGAGCTGCGTTGTCAGTCAAACCCTCACAAGAAATACAGTCTGCCAGAGGAAGGTAAGTAAAATAACATTTTTGTTTTTGTTTTTATCTTATATAAGCCATCATTGTTAATGTGCAAGTTAAATTTCGAAATTTACAAAAGAAAAGTAGCCTACGATAATCCGGGCTGTTACAAGAGCTATTAGCTCAAACCCCTCTTAAATAATTACAGTATTTCTAATATAAAATTTTATTCTACAATTAAAAATGTCAATTTCATTATCATCATCATATTTTGCAGTTGTTGTAGGTAAACGAGTGAACAATTAAACACAAGGGGGAAACTAAGCCTATTACACACACGGTTTTATGAAAGGTGAAGATCAAGAAGAAGAAGATCAAGCCTGTTGACTTGTTTTACATTATACAATTCTTTTTTTTACAATCCATGAAGGAGCAAAAAGGGAAAAGTGACAAATATTATAATTAATAATATAAAAATTATTTCATTATTTACAATTTTGTTTTATATCTTTACATAAAAATGTAATAGTTTGTATAAATGCTTAGTTCTGTCATGAAACTCTAGATGGCGCAGGCTGATGGGTCCTTAACTCAAACTGATGATATTCACAGCGTTACACTTGGCACAAGCTGATTGGTTCATGTTGTATCTGCAGCCAATGAGCTTGCTGCTCAACATTTAAATGGCTGGTTACCATTCACTATAGCAGTTGCAGCGCGCTTTCAGACTTCCGTCTAAAACCCTCCACCTTCCCCAGCTCCACCTGTATAGATCAGCAGCAGCAGCAACAATAATCGACTACAACAGCAATAATCAATAGCAGCAGCTTAGCAGATCTATTCCGCCAGTCCCAAATACATTAGCATTGTCATATCAATTACCATGTTAAAATTATTCAGAGAGTTGCCATGATAGAAATGCATTTTATTTTATAATAAAAAATCAAGTTCCGTTGTTCAAAACTAGGCTAAATTTACATTTTAGCTGCATGAATGAATCATGTGATCCCATATGTATTACAGAGTCAGCTTCATCTTCTTCTTCGCTGTTTTCTAGATGCACTCTCATCAGTTCATCTTCATGATCATTGCTGTAATGTGGATAGTGAGAGTCACAGAAGCATTTTCATACACACCACGAGACACCGTCATCCCTGCAGAGGACCTGACCAAATACTACACTGCCCTGCGGCGCTATATCAAGCTCATCACACGACAAAGGTAAGATAAAAAAAGTGAATTAATCAGTAAAATACAGAAAGCAGGACAATAGCAAAGTATTTAGCAAATTGAGTTTACAAAGAAATAGGCCTTTAATTGTTACAGTATTCATATTTCCATAATTTAAATAATAATACAAGTTACAATTTCTCTTATTTTGGAGAATTTTACAGCCTTTTAATTTCCTCTGATGCTTTTGTAGCTATAATTTATGGTTTCTGCCACCGAATAAAAAGGTAGTTGCAACTTGTCATCTCACGATTCTGATGAGTTTATATCTCAATTAAGAGAATTGTAAACTCAGAATTGCAAGAAAAAAAGTCAGAATTGTGAGATACAAACACAATTAAAAGAGGTAATTGAGAGTTTTTAATCTTACAATTCTGACTTTTCTGACAATTCTTGACCTTACAAGTTTATAGGTGTGTGTCCAGGCCATAGAATTACTGTAATTATGAGAATTTTCTGGGCGCTCTGACTTGTACCACCTGACCGCTGCAGATTCATTTTGGTGTTGTCATAGAAACACATAATTCCAAATTCAAGGAAGTGAACAGCTCTGAGTAGATCGTCACGGGTCATCATCTCGAAATTACGGTAATTATGACATCGTCTGAACACAGCATAAAAATCACAATTCTGAGAAAAAAAGTAAGAATTGTGAGATTTATGCCGCGTTCACGCCATGTCATAAATACTGTAATGACGAGATGACAACCAGGCTTTATAACTTTTATAAGTTTATGTCACACAATTCGGACTTTATAACTCACAATTCTGACTTTTTTTTTTTCAGAATTGTGAGATATTAACATGCAATTGTGCATTATAAAGTCCGAATTGGGAGATAAAAAGTCACAATTACCTTTTTATTCTGTGGCAGAAACCAGCTTCCATACTTGTTTTCCTAACCTCTCTCAGGTATGGGAAAAGAAACAGTCCTGAACCCATGTTCCTGAGTCTGCTGTTGAGAGAGACACCAGGAAGCATTCCTGAGTCCACATATGAGGAAGCAGGCACTGAACATGACAGCATCAGGTTAGAACACCGCACATTCTTCATTTAGCTGGAGACTAGATATGATCTTTTTTATTAGTTGTGTCATACATTACAAAGAAGGTTATAAAAAACTACTTAAAAAGGTTTTGTATAATTTCCTCTCTCTCTTTTTCATGTTATACAAAGTTACAAAGATTTTGCTTTTTGATCGTGTCTTTTCAGATTCAAGGAAATGCCAATTTGATGATGGAAGATTTTTATCAACCACCAAGCGATGTCAGCGGTGACCAGATAGTGGCAGTGTGCAGCTTTAAACCATTGATCCTATACAGTGTTATGAGAAATCGAGTCCTCCCCCAGGAATTGGGTCTCCTTTAGGACCCAGACGGCAATGCCTGATCAAAAGTTGTTATTGTGATGTCTCGACTAATTATAACTTATTTAACTATTGTATGATGTTTATTAAATTAAGTGCACAAACAACATGTTTGAAATATAAAATTAATTCCTATGTATTGCATTATAAAACAAACTGGAAACGCAACCATACAATGTATCTTTTTTTAGAAGGATAAGGATTGTTGCAACATACTATGTTCTGTAAAAGTAATTTAATATTAATTTTACACAATAATAGTAATGTGGTACAGTATAGGCTATAATAATACTATAATACATTTTTAATAAATTACTTGTCATGCTAAGTACACATAAACATCATTAATTTGGAACATGTAATTGGGAACTATATTGGAAGCAAAAAACATACCTAATATAATATAAGCTAAGCTAACAGGCTGATCTTGTAGATGTATGCTATTCTAGAACGTAAGCTAACTAAAAAAATGCTTGATTTCACAACCTATACTTGTCTATAAACCATGAAATTTAAAAGGTCATTAATTAAATGACAGAAATCATAACGTGATTTTGCAGGAATTGTAATCAGGCGCTTAAAAAACTACCCATTAAAAGTCAGTTGAACTAATGGGATCACTGGGGGTCCTAAAGGAGACCAATTCCTGGCTGGGGGGACTCGATTTCTCACCACAACGGCGTTCATTATGTTCTGTACTATGGGGGTTATGCGCGACAAACCTTTGTAATCTGTAAAACAGGTCGCGCGTCGCTTCTGGTTCAGGTCTTTTGTATATGCTCTGTTAAAGGTACAATATTTAAGATTTTTGTAATAAAATATCCAAAAATCACTTGCACAGTGTGATATATTTCCTGCACTTGCAATATCCCAAAAGTTCCCAAAGATTTTTAATTTCAGAGAAATTCCTATTTTAAATAATGGCTCGTCCCTGGTCATTGTCGCCTATTAATGACGTAATATCCGCGTTATCCCTGGTTTCCGCTCGTACCGCCATAGTAACTATGGCGACAGACGTGGACAACTGCGTTACGTCTAGCGGCACGCTCACGCTGTTGTTGATTCGTTCAAACATTATGGACCATGGGAAGCAGACTTTGGGACAAAAGGCGAACTAAAACGAGGATCAATATCAGTGTGGCGGTTTAAAGATGCCGAGAGCTCCACGTCTGCGACTAACTTCGACTTGACAGAGACGCTGTTCTTGCATGTACTTTATTAGACAGGTGAGCAAATGTACATAAAACTAATCAATGTTATATAGCTCAACATGATGAAATGTTAGAATATGATCAGTATGTTATTCTTATGTTGATCTAGCTTACTGCTAGTCTCATACAGACAAACTAACACATAGAATAACATATCTTTCAACACACTCAAATGCAGTTTAGTGTGATAGTGTAGACCAAGTGAAACAGCGCTGCGTGAGTATTAATTCTGCACTTGCGGGTAGTTCGGTAGAATGAAATGTCCTTATTCCTTTTTATCCGCTGGATTTGCGTGTGGCGCTGATATCGGTCTCTCATTAGCAATCGCGCCATGCTTCATTCCACAGTCATGTTATCACTGTATTCACTCATCCAGAAACATTATTAGATCCATCAGCATGACGACAAGTTCCATAATTTCGCGTATGCGTCATCAACCTACGCCTTTGTTATTGTAAGAGGTTAGCGACCCCTAGCGGCGGAAAAAAAATTACATATTGTAGCTTTAAATATAAAGTCGTTTTACTCAAGATACCTTCAAAGGAGCGAGAAAAGATGAGCATAACCGATTGTACATCGCATTTGCAGATTGATATCGAAAAAAAACTTCTTTTTACTAACATTTTTATATTTAAACTGAATAAAACACCACACCAATAATTAAAAGAAATAGATAGGTTAGCCGATTACCTTACAAGTCTATAGACCTCGCCATTAGTTCGTGTCATTAACACTTTCTCTGACAAACGGATGCAATGAGACCTGTTTTCCTGTTTGTTCATGTGACATTTGGCACAAAGCCTATTCAATTCATTATACAGTGTTTGTGAATAAAATGCACGCAGGAATGAATATTAACAGTTGTATCTTCATTAAATCACAGACACATTATTAACCTTATAATAGACTGAAAATATTGAATATAGTCTTTCGTTTTTACTTTTCCAGACACAGAAATGTGCGTTTCTGAAATATATTTTAATATCAACAGAGAACATAATACCTTACTATATTTTTTAAATACCTTAGCATATAAAATTATACCAATTGTAATGTATGTATCTGTTAAAAAGGGTATACATATAACATACATATACAATATGTATATATAATACACATATATGTTAAAAGAAGTCTATATGCTCACCAAGGCTGCATTTATTTGGAGATGGTCCTCACTGCAGAACACGAAATTACATATACCCTCCACCCCCTGATCCCTAACCCCACCCCTAATCCTACCCATCTCCACCCCTTGGATCTGGATCCAACTCCGCCCCCTGGATCTCGTGTACTGCAATGAGGTGCTACTGTTTATTTGACCCAAAATACAACAAAACCAGTAATATTGTGAAATATTTTTTACAATTTAAAATAACTGTTTTCTGAGCATAATTACTCCAGTCTTCAGTGTCACATGATCCTTCAGAAATCATTCTAATATACTGATTTTCTGCTCAAGAAAATGTATTATTATTATCAATGTTGAAAACAATTTTGTGTAAATTTTTCTCTTTGTTGAATAGAAAGAGCGGCATTTATCTTAAATAGAAAGATCTACTAACATTAAGCAGAAATTATACTTGTTTTTTTTTTAGTCGAACGCACACAAATACTTCATTTGACTCGTACGCTTACGCAGGGGTTCGACGTGTGTGTGTGGTTTGGTCAGATGATAATCTGATGGATATCAGCTGCACTATTTTTCATTTTTGAGACCCTTGACCAATAAGCCTATATAAAGGGGAAAATAATCTATAATTATAGTTCTGTTTCAAAGAAATGCTTTAAATGTGTTGACGCTGCCCTCTACTGGACAACGCACGCAAGATTAAAATCGAGGTGACCGCCTGAACTAAAGATGTATCTGAAAATTCAAGATTTGATTTGATTCCGCTGTCAAAACTGATAATTATTATATCACAGATAGATTCATTTTTGATCAAGTTATTGGTTTTATTTTTTGTAAAATTGTTATAGGGAATTCTAATTTTTTTTAAAAATTCAGGGAAACCATTCACATTCAACATTTTGCCTGGTCACCCTTATCAAGCTGAGCAAGTAATGGGGCGAAGAAAATATATAATCCTCACATATTTCACAAATGAGTCGCACATGCGAAAACAATGGTCAGTGGGCGTGTTCTGTTTGCATCCCATGCCTCTAATTGGTCATTCCACTCGGGCGTCAACGAAAAGGACGTGTCCGAACGCCTTGACTGACATATAGAGCACTAGAGAGGATAAGTGTCTTGTTCTGTCTGCTTGGGAAGTTCATGGGGCTTTAAATTTCTCACCGGGACACAGATCCACCCAGTGAGGGTTAGTGAGGTAAGTCTCGGGAACTGTGGATCTCTTGTGATTGTGGCAGCGGGTGTTTTTTGTGTGATAAGGACTCTACACGTGGCTGTCTGTCTATACAGCTGTCTCACCCTGTGGACACTTTTGATTGGAGCGCTATCCAGCTAAATCCAGTTAGCCGTCTAATAATAAACAGCTGATTGCTGCTAGCGCTTCGCGGCTACACTGTTAAAGCTAGCTGTTGCATCCAATTCAAACCATGAATGAAAGAACCGCGAAAACGAGCCGACCGAATTCACAATGTTAACTTTAATATGTTTTTAGGGAAAACGTGACGGTTTGTAAATGCTGTAACGTTACTAGCACAGCGCGAGCAATGTGCTCATTGAGTCCCACGCGCTGCGCGTTTCCTTGAAGTTGAATGGGCCGCACGTGCGCTTGTGTTGCCATCATAAAAATCTACTGCGTAATGTTTCTTACGGTCCGGAGTGGCTGGACACGTTAACTAATGGTAGCTTATGCACACTGGAACAGTATCTGAATAGGACGTGCCACTGCCAGGACAGTCAACTGTAGCTAGAATGCGCGAGCGAGTTGCCTGGAACAATAAGAGCGGCTCGATTCAAGACGGTCACTGGCCTTTGTTGTGGCGTTATAACTCATTTACAACGCACATTATAAAGTGCTTCTCTGAATTTCATTTACATATGTTTATGACTTCATTAGTGGGCAATTTACGTATGTACATCTCAAAACAGACACCAGCAGCGTCGGCTTGCCTTTTTAAATAAAATAAATAAATAAATACTCTTATTCATTATTAATTTTTCCTCAAGGATGTATTGAATTGATCAAAGTGGCAGTAAAGACTTTACAAAGAATCCTGTGAACAATGGATCATGATTCTATCAATCTTTCTTATAGGCTGCATCCTAGTGAGGCGGTGTTCCTCCTAGTCCATGGTTTCGTCATACGAAAATACTGTTAACTTGATTTAAGGAAAAATACATAGTATTAAAAATCTTAAGGCTATATTAACTGGCTTTCTATTAAATCAATACAGTGAATGACAGCCATCTGTGTTCTCCCAGTAGCTTACATTATTGACTGTTTAGTGTTACGTGGTTAATTATCACCAAAACAAAAGATAACATATGCTTTCAACTCTGAAAACATTCTTTTTGTCTTACATTTCATAATGAACTCGGACAGGCTCCTGTTCTTATCTAAAAAATACTAAAAATTGAAGCTTTGGTTTCAGATGGTTGAACAATCAGATGGTCAGAAGGGTCATTCACCACCCCTTGCATTAGTTACATGTTGGTGTTTGCAGTAACAGTTGAGCAAACATTTCATG